TAGAGGATCTCTCTGTCTCTCCCTTTCCCTCTCACTCTGCCTTTCAAATAAATGAATAAATCTTTAAAAGTGAATATCCTTTATGAAAACAGGAGTGTAAGAGAAGTGAAACAAGCTGTCGTAATTCACACGTAGCACGGCCCTGTGTGTAGGTCCAAAGGGACCAGGGTGGCAAGGCAGCAGTTGACGAAATCGATGCAATTGTGTATCTGCAGCCAGGATTGCACAATTCAAAGGCAAATTGGAAAATGCTTCTATTAATGGTAGCATGACCAATACAATTATTTAAGAGTAAAACCAAATAAGTGTAAACTGTATGCGCCTCAAAGCAGAAATGGGTAGATTGAATAAGTGGAGGGATGTACCATGTTCATGGATTATAAGACTCGACTTCTGGATATGTGAGTTTTCTTTGGAACTGTAGATTCAACACATTGCATATCAGAGGCCCAGTAGATATGTTTTTCTGTTTTTGTAAAAATTGACAAGTTGATCCTAAAAACCGATATGTAAATTCATAACTTTTAGGATGAGTAAAAACAATTTAAATAAGGAAGAAAATCAAAAGATGCATATGACTTGATTTCAAAACTTGGATAAAGCTGTAATGGTCACGGTGGAGCAAGGCAGTCCTAGGGCTGGGCAGGCGAGTCCACAGAGAGCGGAGGGTCTGGGGGGGACCCTGACGTCTGTGGTGGCCTGGATTCTGACAGAATCGCCGCACTTCTCTGGGAATGTAACTGGGCAGCAATAAATTTAACAAAACCCATCAAGGAAAACTTAGAGTTTATCTCATGCTCCACTGACAAACTACCTCAAAAATATAGACCCAAATGCAGCAGTCAGTTCTGGGGCCATTGCTCTGTGGTAGTGGGTTAGGCTGCTTGCCCACAGAGCTGGCATTCTGTACAGGCGGCAGTTTAAGTTCTGGCTGCCTCAAGTTTTATCCCGTTTCCAGCTTACGCCTGGGAAAGCAGCAGAGGATGCTTGGGCCCCTGCACGCATGTGGGAGACCAGAAAGAAGGTCCTGGCTCCAGCCTGGCACATCACTGGCTGTCGCAGCCATTTGGGGAGTGAACCCGCACATGGGAGAATGTGTTCCCTCTGACTCTGCCTTTCAAATAAAGAAATAGATTTTTTTAAAAAGAAGATTTGTGCTATACAAGTTTTGCAAGAAAAAAATAATAGAAAATATTTGTGACCTTGCATTAGGCAGAGAAGTCTGTGACAGAAGGTTCAAGTGTGAACCGCACCAACAAGAACAGATTGGACTTCATTAAAATTAAAACATTTGTGACTGAAAAGGCATCACGAAGCAAGTGAAAAGATAGCCAGGGCACGGGAGAGCGGATTTCCAAGCCCTATAGGGTATATCGCACATCGGATAAAGAACTTGTGTCCAGAACATAGAAAAAAACTCAGGCACCTCAATACCAGGACTGACTACTTAATTAGAAAATGGCAAGGGAGTTGAGTAAACACGGCACCAAAGGAGGCTTTGAGTGGCTCATAAGCACATGGAAAGTTGCTCAACACCCTTAGTCATTAGGAAATGCAAATGAGCCCCCAAGGAGGGGGAAGCCTGGCATTTGCAAGTGAAGGGTTTAGAAGGGGCCCATGGGAAAGCAAGATGGTGCGGGCCCCTTGGGGAACTGCGAGGCTTCGGAGAAAGCCAGACAGAAGCCGACCCCACGCTTTCCCAGCAGACAAAAACATTCCTGGGTGGAGGGGTAGCAGATTGGGACAGGGACAGAGGGCCTGCGTGCACGGGGCCCAGCTGACGCCCCCTCCTTCTGAGAGCACACAGGAAGTGACTATGCGAGCTGACCACTTGCTTCTCCACAACCCAGGGGTCCCCAGGTCCTCCAGCCCACTCCCTGTGACCACAGGGCTGCGCTGTGTAAGAACGCTTGTCACTCTGCTGCCTGATTCCTGGGTAAGCAAGAGGGCATGATGGAAATTAGAAAAACATGTAAGTGCTAGGGCATTGCAGGTGAAGCTGCCGCCTGCAGTGCCAGCACCCCACATGGGCACAGCTTTGATCTGTTCCACTTGCAATCCCGCTCCGTTAACGTGCCTGGGGAGGCGGTGGTAGATGGAACGTCTGAGCAGTGACAGGGTGAGAGTGGGTGAGGGGCCCATAGGCGGAAGGAGAAAACAAAGACAAAACTGACTGTGGAGAGACAGAGAGACACCCGGATGGGGAAGGGATGAAGGCGCAGAGATGCAACTGCGAGTGTGAACTATGAAGAACGGACGTCCAGAAGTTGGAAAGCAAAGAGTCTCCCAAGCGTTAAGACTAACTTGTCAAAACTGATGCGCAAGAAACAGAAGCCAGGTGGCAAGCCCCAGCCCGGGATGGCTCCACAGGGCACAGAACACACGGCAGCAGATCGCTGCAGCTGCCTACATAATGCCAGCACCCAGGCAGGGAGGATACCATGCCGACAGCAGTGCCCAGGGCTGAGGAGGGCAGCTGGGAGGAGGAGCTTAAGCAAGAGGTGTCCGGTGGGTAGCAGGGATGGAGAGCGGTCCCTGTGCACAGGGGTCTCCTTCTAGGGGAGGACCACACAGCTGTGAGCTTCCCGGGGCTGGGGCGTACTCCCCCAGGACACCAGGACGCGGCAGCAGGTGGCAGTGGCAGGTGGAGGGCCCCCTCCCACACCACAGCCCCTGGCCGGAGCAGGGAAGCCCGGACTCCGTATCTGTTCTCGGCCAGAAACATTTCCGGCAAAAAACAGAGCGAGTTTCCTGGCTGTGCACGGCAGGTCCTGGGCCCGAACTGGGAGAATCTGCTGGGGTGGGACAGGGGGCATGGGCGCCTAGCCCACTCTCTGGGCCTTGCCACAGCTGGCCTCCCTTTGTGGGTTCTGCAGGAGCGGAGCCCGGTGGGGCTTGAGCACAGAGGACTGGGTACTGGCCTGCATGCGGCAGGGCGAGGCTGGCAAAGCCAGTGTGAGATGCCAGGGGATTGAGCCTACGGCCTCTGGGATAGGGACCCATGCCTGAGCCCTCGCCTCCAGGAAGGGCTGTCCCTGGCAGCGGGGCTGCCGTGCTGAACATGAGCTGGGAGACTGGCCTCGAGGTGGACGCTCCCAGCCCCCGCCCTGCTGCCTGAGTGATCGGCCTGGGTTCTCCCTGGGCTGAGAAGGCAGCTGGGGGGGCTGGGGGTGGCCAGGCCCGGCTGGGCCCTGCCGGGCAGCTGGCATCAGCACTGAAGGCCGGTGGCTGCTGGATTTCCTGTGCCTGACTGCCCGCCTGAGGCCAACAGGATTGTGCTTGGTTGTTTATGATCCCGATGGCCGTCCTGATAACAGGCATGGTCGGGCTGGCCAGGCCCTTTCCCAGGGTCTGTCCCCAAGGGGCAGTGCAAAGGGGCAGGGGCAGGACTGGGCAGGCTGCCATCAGCTGAGCTCCCTGGGCAGCACACGCCTGCTGGCCCTGCGATAACCTGGAGTTTGGGGCCGGGTCAGACCCCTCAGGGGGTCTGATACTTGGTGGGAATTGTGAGTGCTACTCCTACCTTGGAGGGCCCGGGCAGGGATCCTGCTGCTCGGGGGGAGCTGCCGAGGGTCCCCTCCCCAGCCTGGACCCGCGTGGCTGAGGCTGCTAGGGGCCCCAGCCTGCAGAGCTTTGTTCCTGGGGACCAGGGGATTCCGGAACATGGCCCTTTGTCCTTGAATCTGCTGACACACAGGCCTGCGATTGCACCCCAAGGCCAATGTTGGCCCCCCTCAGCCCACCACCCTGGCCTTGGTCAGTCCAGCCCTGTGTCCTTGTCCTTAGACCCCCCTTCCCCCCAGCTCATGGGAGACACCTGTGACTCAGGCCTGGGAAGGGGGCCTGCCCTTCGCCCGCTGCCCCTCCTGAAGGACACAGGATTGCATCCTGTGTGACCACAGAGAGGCTGGGTCAGCATGGGCCCAGGCAGGGACTGGGGCTGTTCTGGAAACAAGGGGACCCGGCTGAGGGGTGCAGGGAAGACCACTGTAGATTTTGCCAGGGGCAGGCTGGGCAGCTCGTGAGGGGGCCCCGGGCAAAGGGTGGATCAGTGCCCGGCTTCCCCAAAAAGTGGCTCCCCACTGTGCAGGAGCGTATGGGGGTCATGAGCCCAACCCTTGGCACCTCTGAGATCCACCCTCCTACCTGCCACATGGGCCCACATCTTGCCCTGGCTGGGCGCCTGGTGAAGACCAGTGTGGATGCGAGGTGGCCAGGCCCCTGGGGCTTCGGGCCTGGGTTGTGAGCGATGTTCTGCTAAGGCCTGGCTCTCCCTGCCTGGGGCAGAGTGTGGGCCCAGGAGGGGAAGCCACCTGGTGCCCTGGAGCCTGCGCTGGGCTGTGCTCTGGCTCTCCTGCCCAGCTGCAGCCGGGGTGGACGTGGGCCAGAGCCCGGCGTTGCCGGGGAGACGGAGCCGCAGACGCGCGCCCTGCCAGGCCCAAATCCCGCTATTTTTAGCTTCTTGGTTACTTTCAGATAAAGTCCTGGGGCCGGGCGAGTTGCTCAGTGAGATAACAGCCACCCTAAACCATGTGGGCTCCCAGGGCCAGTGAAAGTCCCGTGGCCTGGTCCCACTGGGTCACCCGAGAAAGCTCCTGAGGGATGGCTTGTCCATGTGGCCCGGGGCCCTGGTGGCCAGATCAGGGGCAGTGGTAAAGAGTTCCCAGTGCTGTGCAGGACATGGCGAGGCAGTGTGGCAGCTGAGCTGGTCCTTGCCCCAGCACCCTGGGCCGGGACACACAGCAGGTAGCCCTTCCCCCTGATACTGGGAGCCTGATGCTAGCTACTACTTCTGTGCTGGGGGAGCTACAGGGCCAACCCCAAGTGGGGCCAGCATCGAGGCAAGGCCCAGTGGGAAGGCCTCTGGCTCCTGGCGCACATGCAGGCCAGGCCGCCCCTGTGGACACCGCAAGCCCATGCCATGCCAGTGAGGGAATGGGAGGCACTGTGGGCGGCAGTGGGAGGGGACCCCCGGACCACCAGCATGCGAATGGGCCTACCTTGTCCTCCACCCGGTGCAGGCGGGCACCCACGGAGTTGCTGCCCCGGTCCTTGGTCTTTTCTGTGGGAGGGGCTGAGAATCAGTGGGGGCCCTGCATGAGCCTGGGGAGGGGGAGCTGGCAGGGGGCCTGGGTTCAGTGCCTGACCCCAGCTTCCTGCTAATGCAGACTCGGCACTGGGGCTGGGGGCGGGATGCAGCAGGCTCCAGGGTCCCACATGGTGTCTGGGAGACCTGGCTGGGCCCCAGGGCAGGGCCTGGCCCCAGCTCAGTCCTGGCTGCTCTGCGCACTTGGGGGGTGAACCAGTGGGCAGAAAGTCTCTCTCCCCTCTCCCTCCTCTCACCAAATGAAAAATGCTGACCCAGGAAGGACATTTTGCAGACACCTCTGTGGTCGGGCGTGGGAGGGTAGACACGGGGGTCCTGGGCTCTTGAGTTCCGGCCTCTGCCTGAACTTGAACCTCAGGAGGAGGTGTGGCCCTGTCCCTCCTTGGCACGAGTCAGCGCTGGGTCCCGGCAAGCTGCCGTGTTGGCCAGTGGGTACACTGCTTCCTGCAGCTGGAGCTGGTGCCCTCCCGCGGCCCCTCCCCTCACAACCCCCAGAAGTTGGGTGTTTAAAGGGACTAAGAGGTGCTTAGTATCCCCAAACCATTTTGCTTGATGTGGGGTCCCTCCTGTGGCTGGGCTCCCAGCGGGGAGAGGCTGACACCCGCACAGGCCCACTCACCTGAGAGGGGGACAAACAGGGCCGGCTTCCCGATGGACTGGTCCAGCCTGGGTGGGGGGAGGTGGAGAACAGCTCGTGGTGACTCGGCCCTGTAGATGCCAGGCCTGCTGCAGTCTGGCAGCCCCCAGCCACCCTGAGGCCTGCCGGTGCCCTTGAGCCCCGGGGGGCAACCTGAGCCCACCCCGAGGACCAGCCACTGTGGGCCTGGGGGAGCCTGAGGGCAGCACTGAGGCCGGAAGCCCAGGAGGTATGAATAGTCTGGGGCTTTCAGCTCCTGGCCGGGTGGGCAGAGCCCCACGGGGACTGAGACTGGAGACAGGGCAGCAGCTGCTTTCCACTGTGGTGTCTCTGTGCCCCACTTCTCTATGCTGCCAGACCTGATGGGGGCAAAGGACCAAGCTCTCTCTGGGGGTCAGGGACTTGGGCTCCTTGAGATCCGTTCCCATGCCAGGCGGCCCCGGCCCCAGCCCACCTTCTCTGCAGCTCTTTGATGCGCACCATGAGGTTGAGGTGACCCTGCGAGTACTGCTCGATGACGTCCCGCACGTCGTAAGGCTTCCGTGCTTGCTGTGGCCAGAGAGATCATCAGAACCTGTGCGCTGGGGGGCTCAGGCCGGGGCAGGGAGGCCAGTGCAGGCCGGGGCAGGGAGGCCAAGGCCAGGGGCAGGGAGGCCAAGGCCGGGGGCAGGGAGGCCAGTGCAGGCCAGGGGCAGGGAGGCCAGTGCAGGCCAGGGGCAGGGAGGCCAAGGCCGGGGGCAGGGAGGCCAGTGCAGGCCGGGGCAGGGAGGCCAGTGCAGGCCAGGGGCAGGGAGGCCAAGGCCGGGGGCAGGGAGGCCAGTGCAGGCCGGGGGCAGGGAGGCCAGTGCAGGGAGGCCAGTGCAGGCCGGGGCAGGGAGGCCAAGGCCGGGGGCAGGGAGGCCAGTGCAGGCCGGGGGCAGGGAGGCCAGTGCAGGCCGGGGCAGGGAGGCCAGTGCAGGCCGGGGGCAGGGAGGCCAAGGCCGGGGGCAGGGAGGCCAGTGCAGGCCGGGGGCAGGGAGGCCAAGGCCAGGGGCAGGGAGGCCAAGGCCGGGGGCAGGGAGGCCAGTGCAGGCCGGGGCAGGGAGGCCAGTTCAGGGAGGCCAGTGCAGGCCTGGGGCAGGGAGGCCAGTGCAGGCCGGGGGCAGGGAGGCCAGTGCAGGCAGGGGGCAGGGAGGCCAGTGCAGGCCGGGGGCAGGGAGGCCAAGGCCAGGGGCAGGGAGGCCAAGGCCGGGGGCAGGGAGGCCAGTGCAGGCCTGGGGCAGGGAGGCCAGTGCAGGCCTGGGGCAGGGAGGCCAGTGCAGGCCGGGGGCAGGGAGGCCAGTGCAGGCAGGGGGCAGGGAGGCCAGTGCAGGCCGGGGGCAGGGAGGCCAGTGCAGGCCTGGGGCAGGGAGGCTAGTGCAGGCCAGGGGCAGGGAGGCCAGTGCAGGCCAGGGGCAGGGAGGCCAGTGCAGGCCGGGGGCAGGGAGGCCAGTGCAGGCCAGGGGCAGGGAGGCCAGTGCAGGCCTGGGGCAGGGAGGCCAGTGCAGGGAGGCCAGTGCAGGCCAGGGGCAGGGAGGCCAGTGCAGGCCAGGGGCAGGGAGGCCAGTGCAGGGAGGCCAGTGCAGGCCAGGGGCAGGGAGGCCAGTGCAGGCCAGGGGCAGGGAGGCCAGTGCAGGCCGGGGCAGGGAGGCCAGTGCAGGCCGGGGGCAGGGAGGCCAGTGCAGGCCAGGGGCAGGGAGGCCAGTGCAGGCCGGGGGCAGGGAGGCCAGTGCAGGCCAGGGGCAGGGAGGCCAGTGCAGGCCTGGGGCAGGGAGGCCAGTGCAGGCCGGGGGCAGGGAGGCCAGTGCAGGCCGGGGGCTAGGGGGCGGGGCCAGGTACCCAGGCTTGTTGCCAGCTCTGAACCCACAGATGGGGTTCAGGTGCCAGCCCCAGAAACCACAACAAAGGAGGCAGGGTGTCCGGTGGCATCTGCCAAGCAGGGAGCATGGCCTGGAGCTGGCCTCAGGCAGGAGCCTACAGCCGGGCCGGCAGGAGGGCAGGCAGGGCTAGAGAGGCGGGAGGCCGCAGGCAAGCCACAGGGACAAGAGAGGAACAAAGCTCAGACACCAGGGCCGAGACCCACCTCTCCCTGGGAGCCCACCCCAACCTGAGGTGCTGTCACTCTAGTTTCCAGTGAAAACACAGACCCTCCCAGAGGAGACCCTGCCTCAGACCCGGCACCCCAGAGCTCTGCCTAGGCCCTGAGCACCACACCCCCAGAGCAGGCCCTGCCTCAGGCCCCAGCACCCCCAGAGCAGGCCCTGCCTCAGGCCCCAGCACCCCCAGAGCAGGCCCTGCCTCAGGCCCCAGCACCCCCAGAGCAGGCCCTGCCTCAGGCCCCAGCACCCCCAGAGCAGGCCCTGCCTCAGGCCTTGGGCACAGGCAGAGGCTGTCCCCACCGCCCAGGCCCTTTCCCACCCCAGCTAGCTGCAGCCTAAGCCTCCTAGCCCAGTGTCTGTTGCCAGGCTAGTCTGGGCTCTTGGAGGACCAGGGCACAGGAAGCAGAGCAAGGAGCTGGGGCTGTTTGGGGCTTCTGGAAGGTTCCTGTGAACCTGGGGACCTTTGCCTGCATCCTGAGGCCTAGAGGGACCTGGGGACTCTCAGCTGGCCCCACCTCACCCCCAGGACGATGCCAAGGGCTCTGCAGGGTGACCCCAGACACTGTCCACATTTAACAGTCTAGCCAGTCCTGGGGGGGCCTGGGTTGTGCCCTCCTGGGGATCTGGAGTCCAGTGGCCCCTGTCCCCACCCTGGTTGATGCCCTGTGACCTTTTGCACCCTCCATTAGCCATTGGAGGCCTTGTTGTCATTACTCCCAGGGTCATCCCTGAGTTGACCTGAGCCCCCTGAGGTTGCCTGAAGTCCCTTCCTACCCCTGCCCCATCCCTAGCACCAGGTGGGAGCATGGCGGATGGAGAGGCCTCAGGCCATTCTTGGGCCCTGGCTCTTCCATGGCCTCCTGGTCAGCTGGGAACAGCAGCCCATGCCGCCCTTGCAGTGAGATGTTCCAGGCCCTGCCTGAGCCATGGGTGCCACCTACCCAGTTGAGTCATGTGAGCCACTGGTAGGTAGCTCATAGCCGGCTAGCTGTGTGAGGCAACCCTCCCTTTAGTGGGAGGCTGGGTCAGACTGGAGGCTGTCCTGGTATATGGTGGGGGGACGCTGGTGAGGGCAGCAAGAAGGCCCCACATTCTGGTTCCCACAGCAGTTGTGGGGTGGCCTCGACGTGGAGTCAGGGTGCCATTCAAGCCTGTTCTGAGGGACTCAGATCCAGTCCCCCAGGTCCCCCGCTGTACTGGACCTCTGTCCCATCTGCATCTCGGCCCCATCTACACCCAGAACAAGTGCCGGCCTGCCCGCAGCCCTGCCATTGCGGTCTTTGTCTTGCAGCTGTTTCCATGTAGGAGGAGCTGAGCCACCCTGTAGCCGAGGGGACTGTGCCACGCATAGGGCAGGCCGACATGCCCCCTGTGCTCCTGAGTCCATGGTGGCTCTGTCCCCAGGGCCACTGGGCAGAAGCATGTCCCAGGGCCTGGCTGTGGCCTCACAGGGGGGTCCGCCAGAGGAGGAGTGAGGACTCAGGCCTGCCTTCACGATGGCCTCCCCTCAAGAGCTAGAGAGGCTGGGAGGGCAAGCTGGCTCAGCAGACTCACCTGGAACTTCTTCTTGGCCACAAAGTACTGCATGCGTCGGATGACCCTGACGGCGGCCCGGTGGTGTTCCCGTAGCCTGCAGCAGGGAAGGGAGTACCTGTCAGTCACCACAACGCACTGTCCGAGCCACATGTGGCCCTGGCCCCTCCTAAGACAAAGGATGGAGACCCGCGGGGCTCTGTGATAGGAATTGGAGGGGAGGTGGGGTGGGAGACAAGAAGGGAGACGCCTGGCTGGCCTGTCCCTCAGACACAGGGTGGGGCTAGGCCTGGGCTCACCAGTCACGGGCCTCCTGTCTGGGATGCCCTTCAGCGCCCTCCCTCTCCAGTGCTGCGAAGCACAGCGCTACGCATGTCAAGGCCTCGACAGGCTGAGGCCACGGACAAGCTGGCACGGGAATGCGGCCCCCTGGGCCCTGGTTCTGGAAGTGGGGACCCAAGCAGCGCAGGGTTCGGGGCCCCTCCTGGTGCCTCATGCTGCCTCTCATTGCAGACACTGACCGCAAATGAGCTGGAAACATCTTCAAAACCCTGGTGCTGCGAAGCTGAGGCTGTCTCGAAACCATCTAAACCACGCAAGGGGCACCCTTGGAACGCTCTTCCCCACACGGGGTCTTGGAGGCGCCATCAAAAGATCACCCCCGCCTTGCCATCCCCGACAAGGAGCCTGGCCGTGCCTGGCTGGAACCCATGGGGACGGGCAGCCTTGAGGAGGGACATACGACGCCATGAATGTGCGTGGCTCTTCGTAGCAGATAAAGACCCCTCCTTCACCCTGCATCCCCTCCCTCACTCTCTGTCCCCTCTCTTTGTAACTCTGCTTTCCAAACGAATAGGAATTGATCCCCAAAAAGCCATGCAGGGGACACGCTCGTGCTGCTGGGTGGCCAGCCCACACCCGGGTCCCACTTCCAGCTCCCGAATCCGGCTTGTTGCCAGACAACCTCTGCACAGGCCCGGGGAGTCGGGCCGCCGCCCAGGGCGGGCCCCGTACCATCCCAGGCTCCCTGGCCCTGGGCAGTGGCTGAGCCACATGGGCTCTCTGCAGGTCGCTGCTGCCCTGTCCTTTGAATCCATAAGTTACAAACAGGTGAGGGAGCCTGGGAAATCCCCGAGTGTTTGGAAAATGAAACAGCTCGAATCGCCCCAGGTCAAAGCTGATCTGAATCGAACTCCGGCTCGAATTGAGCAAGACAGTGACATGGCGAAGCCTCTTGCTGAGTCAGCTCTCGGGGAGCGCACGCAGAAAACATGTCCAGCCTTAAGTGAGGATCAAAGTCTCAGGGAGCCAGCCCGCGAGGCCCCGGGAAAGCAGAGCAGGCTTGTAAAGATAAGTGGCAGAGAACAGGCCCGTCTCGGGAGGGCCAGGCCCAGGCCCCGCTCTGCAGAAGCTGATAAACTTGTATCCGTACGGGCAGCGAGGGCCGCCCAGATGAGCCAATCACAAGTTTAATAGTCATGGATCCAGGGGCATAAAACCCTGTCCAGAAGATTCTGTGGCCAAGAATTATCTAGAAGACTCTAGAAGATAAGACAGATTAGTTCCTTAAACACAAAACGGGAAAGTGGAAACAGGAAGAAATGAAATTCCGAGCTCCCTGATGTTAAGTGAAATTCAGAGTGCCTTGACCTGCCCACGGAGAACCCGCCAGCCTGGGCGGCCGCACCAGGCATCCCTCCCAGCAAGGCAAGGGGTGGAAGGGCAGGGCACCTGGCGACGGGTCCCCGACGGCCACAGTGCTGAGCTTCAGCCCTGGCCACTAGAACATGGCCACAGCCCCATTTGCTCAAACAGAGGCCCACACACAGAGGCGGCTTCCGTCTGCACCCCACAAGCTCAAGCCAGGCTCGGGAGAACCAGAGACTGCACAGGGCCACACAAACACATATGTGTGGGGCAATGAGGAGACAGGACCGTCTTCACGGGGAGTTAATGAATACCGAATGGGTGGACCCCAGGGCCATCTCCCTGACCCCCAGAGGAGGGTCCAGTCTGGAGTGAGGCATCCAGGGACCACGTGCCCGATTATTTCTGGCCTGATCTGGAGCCAGCAGCCTGGGGCCACCAGAGGCTGCACTCCATGTGTAAGGCATCACTGGGGGCTGGTAGGGCTGCTCCAGCACGGAAGTGGGATCCGCCAGCCAGGCTGTGGGGCTACTGTCGAGCAGGAGCCTCTCAAACGGAGCTCTGCCCTCTAGAGCCACGCTCCAGCGGGCACCAGGGCCTGCGTTTCTGTCCAGGCAGAGCCCAGAGCCTGGGTGTGTGGGAGGTGGCAGTGGGTGGCGGCCTGCTGCTGCACTCGCAGGATTGTCACAGTGTCCATGCAGGCACAGAAGCGTCCCTGCCGTGCCGCTCCAGCCGCTGCAGTCTCGCCTACTCTCTGCCCTCATGGCCTCTCTGAAGAGCAGTTCAGTACAGGCCACCTGTGGGAACTCTCACGCTGCCCGTTCCTTGTTGCTCCCATGTTCGTGCCTGCTGCTGGGCCATGGGCCACAGTGTCACCTGCTTGACCAGTGACAGGTCTCAGCCTAGGACCTACATGAGCCTCTGCAAGGTGCAGGACTGTGTGTGTGCTGAACCATGGACACATGCAGGTGGCTGTGTGACCAGAAGCCACCATTGTTGCCACCATGGACACCCCAGGGTACCCGGCGTGGTCATTCCACGGTGACATCCATGTGGCCTCTGCCCACGTCTCTCTGGTGCCTGGGATGCTGAGCACCCAGTGGGGAGCTTGCCAGCTATCTGCCCCCGATGGAGGGACGTCTCCCCATCCTCTGCTTGTTCTTCATGATGGCTGGGGGGCTTCTCACCCATCTGCAGCCTAGGTGGTAGCCCCTCGCAGATGTGTGGGCTGCCTGGGGTCTGTCTTGCCTTTCCATACTCATCCCGGAAGTGCCCAGGACAGGCCCTTCTGGAAGGGGAGCAGCAGACCAGCTGTGGTGTGGCCATCTGCCCTCCATGTTGCCAAGCAGCTGCCCTGGCTTCCCATGTAATACCTACGTCCAAGATGCCAACCGAGTCCATTTTCATATAAAGTGGGAGGCCTTGGTGTAACCTCTTCTTATTTATTTATTTATTTAAATTTGAAAGTCAAAAGCAAGACAGACAGAAAGACCTTCCATCCGCTGGTTCGCTCCCCAAATGGCCATAACGATTAGTGAGAAGTAGCGGCCCCTTTCACCTACTGGTTTGCTGCCCGAGGATCTTTGGAAGTCAGGCCTGAGCCAGGCCTCATGCAGGAGCCTGGCAAACCCAGTGGCTTTCCCACAGGGGTCACATCAGCTGCTATATCCCAGGACGGCAGAGCACACGGGAGCCAGGCCTGCTGATGTGGGAGGGCAGGCACGCCGGCAGCGGCTTGACCTGGCAGCCCACCCCCAGCACCTGCTCCCGTGGCTGGCCCCCAGGTGCTCTCAGCTGCAGCCCTGTGGTCTGTGCTTTGCATGTCTGTTGCAGGGGAACTGGGCCCGTTCACCTTACAGTTTGGGCCCTTGTGGATCTGTGCTCCAGGAGCCTCCAGGCACACATCAGGCCACCCCTCTGAGGGTGTGACTCCCTCCCCACTCCCCAGCCTCTTCCTTGTCTCATCGCAGCCTGTTGAACCCGCGGGACCACGCCTGGGAGCGGGGGTGCTGAGAGCAGACACCTTGTCCAGCAGCCGCAGCCTGACGAGGCTGCGCGTGTGGCCAGCGATGGACGTTCCTGGCTGCTCCCTGACCCTAACCAGGGTGGAGCTTGGTTTCCAAACCCTACTAGTGCCATACACTTTACTTCATATGAGGTTGAACAATTGCTGCTTTTTAAGAATTAAGGTAAAGGGCCCAGCACGATGGCTCCATGGCTAAATCCTCACCTTGCAAGCACCAGGTTTGTGTCCTGGCTGCCCCATTTCCCACCCAGCTCCCAGTTTGTGGCCTGGGGAAGCAGTAAAGGAGGACCCAAGGTGTTGGGCATCCCCGTGGAAGACCCAGAAGAGGTTCGGGTTAGAGATTGCCTCTGCTCCAGCTGTTGTGGCCATGGGGAAATGAATCTGTAAATCGGATCTGCCTTTCCAATAAAAACAAATCTTAAGAAAATTAGTGTAGAAAGACACTAGGAACTCATGGTTCAAAACAGAAGACAGACCCCAACAGCCCCCAATCCGGCATGTTCTCCCCACCCTGGGAGGCCTGAGTCCTGGGCACCTCAGTCTGTTCTCTCTGGCTCACCTGCACGGGTCCCCAAAAGTTGCCATTGTTGGGGGTGCTGGCCACTGCCTCCCATTCCACTGCTAAGATCATCCGTGACTACCTGCTGCTCTTGTGTCGCTGGGGGTGGCAGGGTGGAGGACTGGCTGCTGGGGAGTAGGGTCAGTGAGCAGGTGGAAAACCCTCTTCTGGGTCATTCTCTCTTGCTCAGCTCTCAGCGTCTCCCTGGGGAACACAGACAACAGGAACCTACTCCAAAAGGGGTAGGCATCCGTCCACACCCCACCATCAGACCAGCACTGCGTGGACACCCATATCACACCTGTCCACACCCCACCATCAGATCAGCACTGTGTGAACACCCATATCACACCTGTCCTCACCCCACCATCAGACCAGCACTGTAAGGACACCCAGGTCACATCCGTCTACACCCCACCATCAGACCAGCACTGCGTGTATACTCCAGGGTCCTACCCATCCACACCCCACCATCAGACCAGCACTGCGTAGATACCCAGATCACACCTGTCCTCACCCCACCATCAGACCAGCACTGTAAGGACACCCAGGTCACATCCGTCTACACCCCACCATCAGACCAGCACTGCGTGTATACTCCAGGGTCCTACCCATCCACACCCCACCATCAGACCAGCACTGCGTAGATACCCAGATCACATCCGTCCACACCCCACCATCAGACCAGCACTGTGTGGACACCCAGGTCACACCTGTCCACACCCCACCATCAGACCAGCACTGTGTGGACACCCAGGTCACACCCGTCCACACCATCAGACCAGCAGCAATATATGCCAGGGAAATGAGTGTGGATCCAGGTGCTAACAAACCTGGGTCCCCCACATGGGTCACCGTCTCCTTC